GGGGCCCCCGCCCGCCGCAAGTCCTGGCTGGTGCCCACGCAGTACGTGCTGGGGCTCTTCATGATCTACATGTCCACCCAGGTGGACGCGCTGCTGGGCGACGGGGAGGGCCGCGGCCCCGACGTGGTGGCCCTCACCGTCAGTTTCTTCCTCTTTGAGTTCCTGGCGGCGACGCAGGATATCGCGGTGGACGGCTGGGCCCTCACCATGCTGTCCAGGGAGAACGTGGGCTACGCCTCCACCTGCAACTCCGTGGGGCAGACGGCCGGCTACTTCCTGGGCAACGTCCTCTTCCTGGCCCTCGAGTCGGCCTCCTTCTGCAACAAGTACCTGCGGTTCCAGCCCCAGCCCCAGGGCATTGTTACCCTCTCAGGTACTGCCTGGGTACCGCCGGTGCTGGGCCGGGGACGATCCTTCCCCAAGCCTGGGGCCAAAGCTCGGTTCGGAGCAAGCGGTGTCTTGGCGTGGTGAACCGAGCAGGTTTGGTTTTTCCCCGGGCCATGAGAAAGCAGAGCCTGAGGAGAGGCTGACCCTACTTCGGCAGGGGGTTGGACTGGGTGACCCACAGAGATCCCTTCCAACCCCGACCATTCTGTGATTCTGTGAGTCCGTGGCTGCACAGGCTGAACTGCCAGGCTGCTCTGGGCTTCGGAGTGTGGGAAACCTGCCTTGTCGTTACCGTGGCTGAGCTAAGCACTTTGGAGACAATTTTTCTTTTTTTTTTCTTCCCCTGGTTTAATGATCTCGGAATAGATTATATTTCAAAAAAGCCCAAGCAAACTAAAAGCTTTGCCTCTTTTTAAGGAGGCCTTTTAAGAACGTCTCCTTCTGGGAGGAAGGAAGGGGGAAATTAAAAAAAAAAAAAATTGCCTCTTCCAAGATGATATTGTTTGCAGAAGTAGAAACGGTAAGTGCTCAGGGTCAGCCATGTGGCCAGTTTCTGAAGAAAGGCCTTATTTTAGTAAATTAAGGGGGATTTTGGTTTCTCCTTAATGAATTAAATGTAGTCTGGTAATCCAACTGTAACCAGCTGTTAGTGTAGGGGCGTCTTCCGTTTGGTGGTTTTGGGGTTGTTTGTGGGGTTTTTTCAGAAAGGTTATATGTGGTGGCTGTTGTTAGGCATGTTACCTAGTAGATGCTTAAAGTGCACGTTTTGGTTGCAAGGTTGAATTTAGCCAGCACAGCTTATGGGAGAACAGGAAAAACTCACTGCTTCTGGTTGCAGCTGCAAAGTGACCATGGCCAGCAAGCAAGAGTAAATGCTCCTGGTTTTAGTTTCTTTTCCCTCTCTTATGTTGATTGCTCTGCCTGTATCATGTAAGAGAAAAGGTGTGCCAAAAACGGACTTGAGTTGGTGTTTAAAGGTTAGTTTTTGCTTGCTGTCCTGCACCTATCTTATTGATAAATCAGGATATCGGTTTCCAAGACTGCTGAGCTTATTTTGTCTCTGCAGCTATCACAGTTGCCAGCTGGTCTTCCCATTCCCTTCCTCTTGATAACCCTATGTCTGGTCTATATGTCAGCAAGCACTGAGTAGTCCCCAAAGTACCCCTGCTGGTTTATTCCTTTGCTTTGTTTTCCCTTGCTGCGTAGTTCTCCCGTGCTGGCGTGTCTCTTCCCTCTTGCTCCAGCGGCAGGCTGACGTCTTTTACTGCTGATGCAACTTGCAAGTCACCAGTGTAGTTGAGAGAGCTTGGTTTGTCTATACTTGCCTCCGCTGTCCAGGTCTTTTGTTGTCTTGGTTGTTTCTCAGTACTGTTTGTATAAATGGATTTGTCACTATTGCATGAGTGCTGTCTCAAAAAAAAACAAAACCAAACAAACTATCCCCCTATCCCTAAACCAAAAAACACCAACGCAACCTGTATAACTTGTCCTGGAGTACTAACCTGGGTGGAGCGAGAAGAGCAAGTAACACTGACACTGTAGTTGCAGGGTATGTTTTTTTGGGTGGTAAAACCGGCTGCAAGAAACTTCTGTTCCCTTGCTCATGTGACGGTATGCTGCAGCTTGCTGCGTCCACGTTTCTGCCGAAGCAGCTGTAGAGCGGCACTGAAATGAGGAGGGCAGCCCTCTGGTCCCAGCGCTGGTTGGAGCGGGGCTCGTGGTGAGCCGGTTCAGGCAGCTGAAGCAGCAGAAAACTTCACGGTTTGGAAAGGTGAACGGTTTTCTGCCGGTTCAGGTCTCTGACCACTTTTGTTGTAGGCCGAGTGCTGACGCTAGGGAAGGAACAAGTTAGCACTTCATGGTCCCAAGTCAGCCTCGAGTTGCTGAGAAGCAGCAGCGTTTGTTGTTCGCCGGGCAGTCGCATGTCTGCCTGGCCCAGCGTGAGGGAGGAGAGGTGAAGCGCGGGCGCAGGAAGAAGGTGCCCCTTCCTCAAGGCAGCCCACGGGCATCCGGGCCGGTGACTGGAGCACCCTTTTTGCTGGGAAGAGGTGTGTGGCTCTGGGATTACTTAAAGCTGTAGCGCTGAAACACCTGGCCCCCTGGCCTGTACCTCCTTGGTGGTTATTTCCCAGCCTGGTCTGTCCCTGAACTGGTTCAAAAGTTTGCTTTGCCCCAACACAGTGGTTTATTTTGCTAGCAATAACGTAGAGGTGGAGACAAAACTGGGATGGGGCCAGGCAGCGCTGGTGGCACCAGAAACTTAATGGTAGAAATTCCTCGTGTAAACTACATTTTTAAAGCTCTTTTGCCTGTAGCCTGTTAGTGGACTATATGGCTTTTCTTTCCCCTCCCCCCCAATCTGGCCGTTCCTGTGTTGAGCTGCGGGGCTGACGTGGTCAGCAGTATTCATGCGGTGATGCTGAAAGCTATTTCTGTTCCTGTCCTCGCACTGCAGGTCTCTCACTGCAGTGACAATGCTGAGTGCTACTATTAAAGTACTGCTCCTGTACGTCTCTGGTAGACAGTAGCTGCGATGAGCACAACTCTCTGAAAACTCATCTTTTACTCAAAAATACATGCTCAGGGTACCTTTTTTAAAAAGTGGAGAGAGCGATCTGACAGCATCGGTTATGAGATCTTCTCTCCTTTAGGAAAGGGAAAAGTAACTGATGTGGAAGCAACAGAAAATGTTTACAAATGCTTTTTTTTTTTTTTTTTTTTTTTACGCTGACAATGCTAAGATACAGCTACAGTAGTCTTTCTGTGTTTTCTTCCATGCTTTGTTGTACTTGTTCTCTTCCTGTGCTTAAGAAGCAGCTAATAATTGCCTAAACCTTTGCACTGTCTTTGCCCTTTCACCAGCCCTTCCCACTTGCTTTCAGTTACCATGAGGCTTCGGGAGTTGCTTGTAACCAGGAAGATAAAAGGCTACTTCTGTCTCAACCTCTGCATGTTACTGAGTTTTCTTACCTCTTTCGTAAAGGTAGAGGATGGGATTCTTAGATTAATCCATTCACTGACTCAAAAAGTACTTGCCATTAAATATTGATGTGTTTTCACTGCAGCTGCTTTCAAATCCACAATTTAGCAAATGTTGTATCTGCTTAAAATAGAGCACTTGAGAGTTAGCAAGTATAATAGCCACTTAAAGCAGACGTATTCGAGTGACTCTGCTTGGTGGCTGTGTGAGAACCTGTGTCAGGACATCTTTATACTCCTGAGTATAAACCTGTGTTTCCTTCAGGTGGTAGATAGGTGCTGTGTAGGGAGCGTAGAACTGAGGCACGGAATAGTTATGTGACCGCACAGTGAATCAGCTGGAGAGTTCTGAACGACTTCTTCCTCTGAAATTTTTTCCCAATCTAGTAACTATTAAATGTGTGTTTTCCTCCTTGCTCAGCTTTAGGTGATTGTGTGTGTAATCCTTCAACATTTTCATTTCTGTTTCTCCTCCGCCGTGCTTACTGTGGTATCCATGCGCAGAGCACCAGGGAAGCGACCCGGTTGGCGGCTGCTCCTCCGTCTGCGCTCTCGGGCGAATGCGGGGTGACAGTGAGGGCAGGGCAGAGCTGTGTTAGTTACTGTGTGCAGCTGTGTGCTTGTGGTTTGCTTTTGGTACCTGTCTTTAGGAGGGTCAACGAGTGATGGTTTTATTCAATTTTTCATTATTAGGTTTATATTGTTTCAAAATAACTGTGCTTTAGATACACGGTGAATTGTTGATGAAGTGTTGATGGTGGCTGCTAGAAAGATTTTATTTTTTTAAATTTTAATATTTTCCCCTCCAGATTTCCTGTTTTTCTGGGGAGCTGTCTTTTTAATTACCACTACACTGGTTGCCCTTTTGAAAAAGGAGAACAAGGAACTAACACCAACAAAAGAAGAAACAAAAGGCATCACTGACACATACAGGCTGCTATTCTCAATAATCAAGATGCCGGCAGTTTTTACTTTCTGTCTCTTGATTCTCACAGCAAAAGTAAGTAAATACCTATATGAATTGTTAGATGCTGATGATACAAGTGTCTGAAAGGTTGCCGAGTCCCTCTGGTGTAACTTGTTTCTCAGTTTTGCTAGCGGTTGTCATCAGAGTTCTGAATTTTCACGTGAAATTTGAAACAAAATTGCTTATGTCATTGTGCTAAGTAAGGTTGTACAAAAGAAAACGTTTGTTTGAGCTTTTGTGAGTGTTTACACAAGCATTAAAGAGAAGCTTGATTGCAGTCCAGTATTAAAGTAATTCGGCTTTAAACATTTTTAAACAATCAGGCTGTTTGGGTAGTCTGCAGTTAAAAGTACAGAAAATGTTTCTCTTAACCTAAGTGCTATTCCCAGAGTCTGCAGCTCTGTACAAACCAGGTTTCCGTGGCTGCTCGCTGGCCGTCGCGGATACCGACAGCAATACAGGCACAGGCGTGAAGATCATTGCGATGTTTAATCGTCTTGGTGTAGTTTTGGCACTGATGACAAGAACAGCGTGCAGGCGTGGAACGTTTCAGAACGGATTTGGAAATGAAATGAGACACAAAAGTGAATTGTGCTCTATCACGTTTCTCAATTTACTGAGTAAACGGAATTTCTAGCTAAACTGCCACTGCTTTCCCCAGTTTATTTTGTGTAACTTATATTGCAGGTTGGATTTTCAGCAGCAGATGCTGTCACAGGACTCAAACTGGTGGAAGAGGGAGTCCCAAAAGAGCACTTGGCTCTGCTGGCCGTTCCGATGGTTCCTTTACAGATAATATTGCCTCTGCTTATCAGCAAATACACAGCCGGCCCCCAGCCGCTGAACACGTTTTACAAAGCTATGCCTTTTAGGTAAAAACTAACACAGCTCGTTTGGCAGAAATGTAGCGTTTGGCGTATTCAGGCCAAGTATAGGATTTCTTGCATAACTCTGAAACTTCCAGATACAAGAAAGTGTGTCACAATTCTCATAGTGAGTTGAAGTCTCTGTGTCTTGTGCCTTGCTGAGGTAACGGAGAGCACAGGAAGCTGAATGAGGCTGACACGGGCAAGGAGACGTTTCGTTTCTGTGTGAAGTGTTTTGTATGGGAGTTTGCTTGTGGAATTCTAAAACGAGTGAGTGCAGCACGCTACCTAATGCTGTGACTCAGGATGTCATCTAACGCGTTTGTAATAGGGAGCCATTACTTTCACGTGTTCTTATGCAACTGTGTATGTTTTCGCAAAAAAAAAAAAGAAAGTAGGTCTTGCTCCAGCTGAATTTGGTTAGATACCTTGTGTGATGTGTTCTACAAAAAAACCATAAATTACAAAATCTACAAAACAAAAAACAATCTGCAAGAAGTAAATTTCTGTGTGAAGGGGCGGGGGAGAAAGCTAGTGTAGGAGATCTGGCAGTGGGTTATGCTTATACGGAAGAAGAGAGAATTGTTCAGGTGTAAAATGTTTACAAGTGCAGTGCTTGTCAAATATTTAGTATCTGATTCCATCTAAGAAATAGTTCTAACCATTTAGATAGAAACTATTTTAATGTCTTCTGTACGTATGAATGTTTGGTTGGTTTGTGTCAAGGAAACACATGAGGAGAACGACTTGAATTACAAATTATCTTTCTGACTCCTCCAGGTTACTGCTTGGTCTGGAATTTGCTTTTTTGGTGTGGTGGACTCCAAAAGTAAAACACGAAGGAGGATTTCCTGTCTACTACTATGTCGTAGTACTGTTGAGTTATGCTTTACATCAGGTAATGGACACTGTGTGTGGGAAGAGGAGGGGGGCAGGAGGGTGCTTCACATCAGTCAGCGAGAGGACTATAAGCGCCGTTACCTGCTTTTGTCCGTAGTTACCCTGGAATTCCCCTCAGCCTGGCCTGTCGTGTGCTGTATGGCTGTGTCTAATGTCAATACTCCTGCCACTGTCATTTCTCCCTCTTCCATGTGCTCCACTGGACATCTTCTGTGGGGTTACTTTTAGTTGATCGGGTCTGCTTTTGTTTCGCAGACTTTCTTCTACCTAAAGTCTGCGAACTTTAGTCTGGAGCGAGTCCAAAGGAGGGCTACAAAAATGATCCGAGGGCTGGAGCACCTCTCCTATGAGGACAGGCTGAGAGAGTCGGGCTTGTTCAGCCTGGAGAAGAGAAGGCTGCGGGGAGACCTGATTGCAGCCTTTGAGCACTTAAAGGGAGCCTATAGGAAAGATGGGGACAATCTTTTTAGTAGAGACAGCAGTGACAGGATGAGGGGTAATGGTTTTAAACTAAAACAGGGTAGGTTTAGGCTGGATATAAGGAAGAAATTCTTTACAGTGAGGGTAGTGAAACACTGGAACAGCTTGCCCAGAGAGGTAGTGGAGGCCCCATCCCTGGAAACATTCAAGACCAGGTCGGACAGGGCTCTGAGCACCCTGATCTAGTTAGCGGTGTCCCTGCTCGCTGCGGGGGGGTTGGACTGGATGACCTCTAGGGGTCCCTTCCGACCCAAAACTTTCTATGATTCTAAACTAGAAGCTCAAAAGCATGGTGGAGTTGGAGAAATCCCAGCATTCTGACGGAGTTTCATAGGCTTGATGATTGGTGGTTGTGCTTATTGTGCAGATCCATAAAGTTATATGATGCCGGTCCTAGAAAAACTCCATTAAGGATTTGGAAGGAACATCATAATGGAGCAGATCCAAAGCGTGGAAAACAAACACCTGATGCAAACTGGGCTTTGGATCAGAACTAAAATGTATGCAGTGCCTTGAGAGTGGATTTGAAATGCAGAAGTGTTGGGTTTATATCCTATTTTAGCTGGTCTTATCATACTTCAGTCTGATAACCTGAGCCATTCCAGTGCGTGTGAGTCTGGGTCTGTTTCAGCGTGACCCGAGACAAGCGGCAAGGCTACTGCTTGCTGTTAGTGGAGAGACAGACTGCAGAAGTATTTTCACTCTTGTGCAACCTTAACCTGTTTGGATGATTTTTCAGTCAATGTTGCTAACTTCAAGTAATCTCCTAGAACAGTTTTTATGTTAGGGTTTTAGTTGCCATCGTCTGTAACTGGGGAGACCTTACCCTCCCGTGGGTTTTCTTACCTCTTGTACAGATCACGCTGTATAGTATGTACGTTGCAGTCATGGCTTTCAACGCCAAAGTCAGCGACCCGCTGATCGGAGGAACCTACATGACGCTCCTAAATACCGTGTCGAACCTGGGAGGGAACTGGCCTTCCACCGTCGCGCTCTGGCTTGTGGACCCGCTCACGGTGAAGGAGTGCGCCGGGGCCCAGGAACAGACCTGCGCAACTACAGTTGCGGCAGAAGTAAGTTTTGGGGGCTGCGAAGGTCTCTGTGCAATTGGTTCCCAATGAAATGGCTTCTCTCGGTATTTTTTTTCACCTTTGAAAACCTTCATAGTGCATAGCTTATGCTTAAATTTCCCACTAATGGAGCTGATTTTCCTGTCTGATGAAATAAAAGTCTGTTTATATCTTAATAACTAACATCTCTACCAAAGATTTTCAGTTGCTGAGTAGTTGTCCATTTCTTTCTGGGCTGGGATGAAAAGCCAGTGTTAGAAGCACTAGATTGGTGCCACGTTCTCTGCGGCGTAAGGAGGCTGTAGTTACGTTTTTTGAGAGTTAACCTTGCTAAGTTGAGAGTTCAGCACTCTGTTCTTGGCAGGCTGCCTGTCCCCCAGGTCCCGTAGGTTTTGTGGTAGGTTTTTGTTTCTTCTGTCTTTCTGGAGGCTGCCTATCTGGACAGCTCGATACCTTCTCCCGCGATGTTACTTTGCTCTCTGTCTTTGATCTTCGCTTTCCACATGAAATCAAGCGGTGTGGCTGGCTGCCTTCCCAGCTCTGGGGAGCCCTGGGGAAGAGAACAAAGAACGTGCTGTGCTACTGTACGCAGGTCAAACAACAGGACGCAAAACTGCCTGGAAAGCAAGGTTTTCGCCTTCACCTCCTCGTGAGCTGATGAGAAATTGTAACGTGGCTGTTTGGAAGGGTGGCAGTGTTTTGGGGGGGGTTTTTTCCTGTACTCATGACTGAGGTTTATTTCAGTCTTGAATGTCAGGACTCTGGGATGTGGAGGTTCTCTGAATAAAAGTGTACTAGGAGTCAAGCATAACTTAGTTGAGCTGGGGCTGCAGTTCTTACTAGTGGCAGAGGGGACACTGCTTCTGCAGTGTGTGCTTTTTCAGCCTGTCTCTCGTTGGTGTGCCACTAATTAGTTTCCCTGTGCCTTTGCTGAACTTGAGTCCTTCCTCCTTCACCTCACTCCTCTGATTTTTTTTTCACATCCTCCCAGCTGGTAATGTTCCACCACCACCGCCGCTCCCTTCTTACTCCTAGTCTGATCTTGGTGTGTCTCAGAATAATGAAAACGCTGGCAGAACCTCGACTCAGAGGACTGATTTATCTTGGGATTATGGCAGTACTGAAAGCTGAACAATAGCAGAAACCGTCATGCGCTGTGCACTTACCCTTTAAATGCTGGAATTTTTGTCTTCCAGTTCTGCAGTTAAAAAACATCCTGGGCATGTTTTACCCAGAAATACACCGTGTTTTGTACTGTCCATTTGCAGATTCAGTGTGGTGAGATGATAGGTGCTGTGTAGGGAGCGTAGAACTGAGGCACGGAATAGTTATGTGACCGCACAGTGAATCAGCTGGAGAGTTCTGAACGACTTCTTCCTCTGAAATTTTTTCCCAATCTAGTAACTATTAAATGTGTGTTTTCCTCCTTGCTCAGCTTTAGGTGATTGTGTGTGTAATCCTTCAACATTTTCATTTCTGTTTCTCCTCCGCCGTGCTTACTGTGGTATCCATGCGCAGAGCACCAGGGAAGCGACCCGGTTGGCGGCTGCTCCTCCGTCTGCGCTCTCGGGCGAATGCGGGGTGACAGTGAGGGCAGGGCAGAGCTGTGTTAGTTACTGTGTGCAGCTGTGTGCTTGTGGTTTGCTTTTGGTACCTGTCTTTAGGAGGGTCAACGAGTGATGGTTTTATTCAATTTTTCATTATTAGGTTTATATTGTTTCAAAATAACTGTGCTTTAGATACACGGTGAATTGTTGATGAAGTGTTGATGGTGGCTGCTAGAAAGATTTTATTTTTTTAAATTTTAATATTTTCCCCTCCAGATTTCCTGTTTTTCTGGGGAGCTGTCTTTTTAATTACCACTACACTGGTTGCCCTTTTGAAAAAGGAGAACAAGGAACTAACACCAACAAAAGAAGAAACAAAAGGCATCACTGACACATACAGGCTGCTATTCTCAATAATCAAGATGCCGGCAGTTTTTACTTTCTGTCTCTTGATTCTCACAGCAAAAGTAAGTAAATACCTATATGAATTGTTAGATGCTGATGATACAAGTGTCTGAAAGGTTGCCGAGTCCCTCTGGTGTAACTTGTTTCTCAGTTTTGCTAGCGGTTGTCATCAGAGTTCTGAATTTTCACGTGAAATTTGAAACAAAATTGCTTATGTCATTGTGCTAAGTAAGGTTGTACAAAAGAAAACGTTTGTTTGAGCTTTTGTGAGTGTTTACACAAGCATTAAAGAGAAGCTTGATTGCAGTCCAGTATTAAAGTAATTCGGCTTTAAACATTTTTAAACAATCAGGCTGTTTGGGTAGTCTGCAGTTAAAAGTACAGAAAATGTTTCTCTTAACCTAAGTGCTATTCCCAGAGTCTGCAGCTCTGTACAAACCAGGTTTCCGTGGCTGCTCGCTGGCCGTCGCGGATACCGACAGCAATACAGGCACAGGCGTGAAGATCATTGCGATGTTTAATCGTCTTGGTGTAGTTTTGGCACTGATGACAAGAACAGCGTGCAGGCGTGGAACGTTTCAGAACGGATTTGGAAATGAAATGAGACACAAAAGTGAATTGTGCTCTATCACGTTTCTCAATTTACTGAGTAAACGGAATTTCTAGCTAAACTGCCACTGCTTTCCCCAGTTTATTTTGTGTAACTTATATTGCAGGTTGGATTTTCAGCAGCAGATGCTGTCACAGGACTCAAACTGGTGGAAGAGGGAGTCCCAAAAGAGCACTTGGCTCTGCTGGCCGTTCCGATGGTTCCTTTACAGATAATATTGCCTCTGCTTATCAGCAAATACACAGCCGGCCCCCAGCCGCTGAACACGTTTTACAAAGCTATGCCTTTTAGGTAAAAACTAACACAGCTCGTTTGGCAGAAATGTAGCGTTTGGCGTATTCAGGCCAAGTATAGGATTTCTTGCATAACTCTGAAACTTCCAGATACAAGAAAGTGTGTCACAATTCTCATAGTGAGTTGAAGTCTCTGTGTCTTGTGCCTTGCTGAGGTAACGGAGAGCACAGGAAGCTGAATGAGGCTGACACGGGCAAGGAGACGTTTCGGTTCTGTGTCAAGTGTTTTGTATGGGAGTTTGCTTGTGGAATTCTAAAACGAGTGAGTGCAGCACGCTACCTAATGCTGTGACTCAGGATGTCATCTAACGCGTTTGTAATAGGGAGCCATTACTTTCACGTGTTCTTATGCAACTGTGTATGTTTTCGCAAAAAAAAAAAAAGAAAGTAGGTCTTGCTCCAGCTGAATTTGGTTAGATACCTTGTGTGATGTGTTCTACAAAAAAACCATAAATTACAAAATCTACAAAACAAAAAACAATCTGCAAGAAGTAAATTTCTGTGTGAAGGGGCGGGGGAGAAAGCTAGTGTAGGAGATCTGGCAGTGGGTTATGCTTATACGGAAGAAGAGAGAATTGTTCAGGTGTAAAATGTTTACAAGTGCAGTGCTTGTCAAATATTTAGTATCTGATTCCATCTAAGAAATAGTTCTAACCATTTAGATAGAAACTATTTTAATGTCTTCTGTACGTATGAATGTTTGGTTGGTTTGTGTCAAGGAAACACATGAGGAGAACGACTTGAATTACAAATTATCTTTCTGACTCCTCCAGGTTACTGCTTGGTCTGGAATTTGCTTTTTTGGTGTGGTGGACTCCAAAAGTAAAACACGAAGGAGGATTTCCTGTCTACTACTATGTCGTAGTACTGTTGAGTTATGCTTTACATCAGGTAATGGACACTGTGTGTGGGAAGAGGAGGGGGGCAGGAGGGTGCTTCACATCAGTCAGCGAGAGGACTATAAGCGCCGTTACCTGCTTTTGTCCGTAGTTACCCTGGAATTCCCCTCAGCCTGGCCTGTCGTGCTGTATGGCTGTGTCTAGTGTCAATACTCCTGCCACTGTCATTTCTCCCTCTTCCATGTTCTCCACTGGACATCTTCTGTGGGGTTACTTTTAGTTGATCGGGTCTGCTTTTGTTTCGCAGACTTTCTTCTACCTAAAGTCTGCGAACTTTAGTCTGGAGCGAGTCCAAAGGAGGGCTACAAAAATGATCCGAGGGCTGGAGCACCTCTCCTATGAGGACAGGCTGAGAGAGTCGGGCTTGTTCAGCCTGGAGAAGAGAAGGCTGCGGGGAGACCTGATTGCAGCCTTTGAGCACTTAAAGGGAGCCTATAGGAAAGATGGGGACAATCTTTTTAGTAGAGACAGCAGTGACAGGATGAGGGGTAATGGTTTTAAACTAAAACAGGGTAGGTTTAGGCTGGATATAAGGAAGAAATTCTTTACAGTGAGGGTAGTGAAACACTGGAACAGCTTGCCCAGAGAGGTAGTGGAGGCCCCATCCCTGGAAACATTCAAGACCAGGTCGGACAGGGCTCTGAGCACCCTGATCTAGTTAGCGGTGTCCCTGCTCGCTGCGGGGGGGTTGGACTGGATGACCTCTAGGGGTCCCTTCCGACCCAAAACTTTCTATGATTCTAAACTAGAAGCTCAAAAGCATGGTGGAGTTGGAGAAATCCCAGCATTCTGACGGAGTTTCATAGGCTTGATGATTGGTGGTTGTGCTTATTGTGCAGATCCATAAAGTTATATGATGCCGGTCCTAGAAAAACTCCATTAAGGATTTGGAAGGAACATCATAATGGAGCAGATCCAAAGCGTGGAAAACAAACACCTGATGCAAACTGGGCTTTGGATCAGAACTAAAATGTATGCAGTGCCTTGAGAGTGGATTTGAAATGCAGAAGTGTTGGGTTTATATCCTATTTTAGCTGGTCTTATCATACTTCAGTCTGATAACCTGAGCCATTCCAGTGCGTGTGAGTCTGGGTCTGTTTCAGCGTGACCCGAGACAAGCGGCAAGGCTACTGCTTGCTGTTAGTGGAGAGACAGACTGCAGAAGTATTTTCACTCTTGTGCAACCTTAACCTGTTTGGATGATTTTTCAGTCAATGTTGCTAACTTCAAGTAATCTCCTAGAACAGTTTTTATGTTAGGGTTTTAGTTGCCATCGTCTGTAACTGGGGAGACCTTACCCTCCCGTGGGTTTTCTTACCTCTTGTACAGATCACGCTGTATAGTATGTACGTTGCAGTCATGGCTTTCAACGCCAAAGTCAGCGACCCGCTGATCGGAGGAACCTACATGACGCTCCTAAATACCGTGTCGAACCTGGGAGGGAACTGGCCTTCCACCGTCGCGCTCTGGCTTGTGGACCCGCTCACGGTGAAGGAGTGCGCCGGGGCCCAGGAACAGACCTGCGCAACTACAGTTGCGGCAGAAGTAAGTTTTGGGGGCTGCGAAGGTCTCTGTGCAATTGGTTCCCAATGAAATGGCTTCTCTCGGTATTTTTTTTCACCTTTGAAAACCTTCATAGTGCATAGCTTATGCTTAAATTTCCCACTAATGGAGCTGATTTTCCTGTCTGATGAAATAAAAGTCTGTTTATATCTTAATAACTAACATCTCTACCAAAGATTTTCAGTTGCTGAGTAGTTGTCCATTTCTTTCTGGGCTGGGATGAAAAGCCAGTGTTAGAAGCACTAGATTGGTGCCACGTTCTCTGCGGCGTAAGGAGGCTGTAGTTACGTTTTTTGAGAGTTAACCTTGCTAAGTTGAGAGTTCAGCACTCTGTTCTTGGCAGGCTGCCTGTCCCCCAGGTCCCGTAGGTTTTGTGGTAGGTTTTTGTTTCTTCTGTCTTTCTGGAGGCTGCCTATCTGGACAGCTCGATACCTTCTCCCGCGATGTTACTTTGCTCTCTGTCTTTGATCTTCGCTTTCCACGTGAAATCAAGCAGTGTGGCTGGCTGCCTTCCCAGCTCTGGGGAGCCCTGGGGAAGAGAACAAAGAACGTGCTGTGCTACTGTACGCAGGTCAAACAACAGGACGCAAAACTGCCTGGAAAGCAAGGTTTTCGCCTTCACCTCCTCGTGAGCTGATGAGAAATTGTAACGTGGCTGTTTGGAAGGGTGGCAGTGTTTTGGGGGGGGTTTTTTCCTGTACTCATGACTGAGGTTTATTTCAGTCTTGAATGTCAGGACTCTGGGATGTGGAGGTTCTCTGAATAAAAGTGTACTAGGAGTCAAGCATAACTTAGTTGAGCTGGGGCTGCAGTTCTTACTAGTGGCAGAGGGGACACTGCTTCTGCAGTGTGTGCTTTTTCAGCCTGTCTCTCGTTGGTGTGCCACTAATTAGTTTCCCTGTGCCTTTGCTGAACTTGAGTCCTTCCTCCTTCACCTCACTCCTCTGATTTTTTTTTCACATCCTCCCAGCTGGTAATGTTCCACCACCACCGCCGCTCCCTTCTTACTCCTAGTCTGATCTTGGTGTGTCTCAGAATAATGAAAACGCTGGCAGAACCTCGACTCAGAGGACTGATTTATCTTGGGATTATGGCAGTACTGAAAGCTGAACAATAGCAGAAACCGTCATGCGCTGTGCACTTACCCTTTAAATGCTGGAATTTTTGTCTTCCAGTTCTGCAGTTAAAAAACATCCTGGGCATGTTTTACCCAGAAATACACCGTGTTTTGTACTGTCCATTTGCAGATTCAGTGTGGTGAGATGCAAGGGTAGAATTTCTAAAGAAGCAGTTTGGATGGCAAGGGAAAAAAAAAAACCCACCTTCTTGATGGGATTAAGATCAGTGACTGCACCTCCAGGCCTGCCTGAGCCAGCCTGGGCAGTTTCTGTTCTCTGGAGTTACCCCCTTGGGCCAAGGCGCTCCATTTCCCAAACGTTCTATAACAGTTTTGTTACTTTTCGTGCTGACAGTGAGCTTGAAAGCCTCTTACTGACTCCATAAGAAACAAGGAAGAGTAAAGAAGTATATTTAGTCATAACCAAGAGCAAGTAAACAGCGGTGGCTGTCTAATGCCTGCTTTCTACAGGTCTGTGTTTCTGTATCTGCCAGAGAATGCTCAATGCACCACCGTCCGCTTGTCTCTTCCAGCTCTGCACAAAAGCTGGCGGTTCCTGCGTCACTGCCTTGGACGGTTACTACGTGGAATCCGTCATCTGTGTCGTTCTGGGATTTGGCTGGTGGTTCCTGCTTGGGCCAAAATTTAAAAAGCTGCAGGACGAAGGACAGTCTTCCTGGAAGTGCAAGAGGACCAATTGATGCATTTAAATACTGGATGGACTGGCAAGGTCATTTTAGTTTTATTACAAAGACATATCCCATAATCAATAACCAGGAATATAGGTATTTTTAAATGCCACATCCCTGAAAAACTGGGTGGCCGAGGCAGTGGTATGTTTGGCTGTGCTACCACTTCGCCTCCCAATACCAAAATGTAAATTCAGAAAGTAATTGCTAAAAAGCAGCACCTGCGTACCACACACGTACCTCCGAGCTCTGGCCTCAGAGCCGCGGCTGCCGGCGTAATCAACGCCCGCGTCGCCTTGCGGTGACTGCGGAGGAGCTCGTGGTGCTGTGTCTGTCTGAACGGCACCGCTGCCAGCGGCGTTCCGGCGCTGTGTTTTCCAACGGAAGTGATCTGGCGCGGGGAGCTGACCCGGGGAAGGGTGTCAGGGGCATTTTGGCTCGCAGGTGAAGTGTGTTGTGCTATGGAATTCCTTGTGGGAAGAGAAATGTAGAATGTCTGTGGGCGTTGTTTCTTCTCACTTTCTGAACTGTAACCACACCTCCAAGGATGAAATGTTTCAGAGATTCTTTTAAATGTATTTTCTGGCTTTTATAAGCTTTAAAGATTTATAAGAAAATATTTTTATAAACAAATGTAATTTGTTTAATTTATTTCCGCTGTTTCAAAGCATTTTGATTTACATTTTCTTGATGAAAAATTGCTGTAAGGTCGGACTTAAGAGTGATGCACAATACTCTGAGCCTCGAGTCCTGAAGCTGCAGACTGGCTGGGGGGGGCGCGCGCCCCCCCCAAGAG